TCTCTGTCGTGCAGACTGTTCCTCCATTTCGTCAGTGCACCCACTGCCACATTCATTCCAATAAACTCGGCTTCGTACTCGACATAGTTGGGCCCATTCATGACTTCGTCATACAGCTCGCGCTGTCTCTGATTCATATTCGCATACGGTAATAGAAGAGGACTCTCAATATGAAGCCGGTTTTGTTAAAAGTAAAGACTTTGCCATGTCCCCTTGACCACTATGTGCGCCATCCAGCGCCGCCACAACGCGCTATGTGATCAGTACCATGTATACTGCATGCCTAGGGCCACCAGAGTGGGCGGGGATCGCTCTAAAGGAGGGCTGTTTTCTGGCTTTTTTCTGTTTTTTGCGTTTTTTTTTATGATTTTTGGCGTTCTTCAAGGCATTGGTTTCATATGCGCGAGCGGGCCACTGCCCGCTCCGCATTTCCGGATATTCGTCACTCTGCTTTGCAATTCGTATTCCGTAAGGTAGGCACAATGGAGCGCTTCAAAGAGAATGGAAAATTTCGGTCGCTCCGCGACGATCCGTCGCGTCGCCGAGCGTTGTTCATTGGAAAGTGGGTTTTGAGCTTGTCCGTCTGGGACCTGCTCTCCTTCGTGGTTGCAAAACAAGAAGAAAACATATTTAATGTACAAAAAAGCGGCGCGGCGCGCGGGGGGACTTTAGACGCTCGTTGGACGAGCCCCAAAAGAGCGGGATGAAAACGGAGCGAGTTGATCTTTGCGGTCTGCTCAGTCCTTTTCCCTGTGATCGTTCTTCGATCGCTCCGTACGTCCGCCCCTTGCTGTTCTGCGTGCCGAGCTCCCATCCTCACATTCTAGACATCTTTCTGCATCAAACACAGGACAAACGCACGCGCACGCGCACGCACGCATCGCGCTCCACATCTTCACCAAATGAGCGTTCCAGCGCCAGAAAATCCCGCCACAACCTGGCCGCCACTACTCACCGTCACCTTCGTGGTTGACGCCATGCCCAGCCCAGCCGATCGAACACTTCAACTTCCGTTCCCCCCGCGAACGGGCCGGCTCCTGGTCCGCCATGTTACGGCGGCGCTCCCAGCCAGCATCCCGCGCGAACTCTTGACCTCGTCCGCAACCCCCATCGTCCAGCTGGTCACGTTCGACGAAGATAACGTCATGCGAGTGCAACATGACAACACAGCCGTTCAGACGTCGGAGCTCATGGCGATTGTTTCCTTCAGGTGTAACAAGCGCGAGCATGCCTGCCGTTCATACCAGTTCTTTGAGGGACGAAAGACATGCAAGTCGTGCACTGATCGCAACGCCAGATATCGTAAAAAAGCTACTGCCAAGAAGATTGCGTTGAAAGATCAGCAAGCGAGCGAGCCAGCCGAGGAGGCAGCCGAGGAGCCAGCCGAGGAGCCAGCCAGAAACGCTCCGACAACGAGGCTCACCGAGCTTGCCCACACCCGCTTGATGTTCAACGATCCGCAGAGCCTGGAGGACTTTTGGGAACGCCAGCAAAGTACAATCGACTTGCGTTTGAAGCACGACTACTGTCCTGGTCAGTCACGCAGGTCTCAGGTCAGAGATGAAGTGGATTCGGCTTCGCCAGTTCTCTCTGCCCACGCTCCACATGCTCCTCCACATGATGCTGAAGACGACCTTGCTGAAGACGACCTTGCTGAAGTCGACCTTGCTGCGTCAACCGTGTCTTCGGCTCCGGAAGCAGCTCAGCTCACCCACGCAGACGAGGTTTCCGAGTCTATTGCTGAGGGTCATGTCAACTCGCAACCAGGCACGTCGGCGGTTTACCTCACGCAAGATGAGCGTAACCAACTCGACCTCTGGTTCGAGAACCGACCCGTGCTGTGCTCAAGGACACAGCGCTTCTGGTGCTTCAATCACCGGTCAACGAGCAGCAAGGAGCCGTCTCCAGCTTCGTCGATGATTCAAGACCGATTTCTCGAATCATTAGACTTCACACACCCCATGCATACGCATCGACTCGACAACGACTTCCGCGTGCAGCCAGGATTAGGGCAAGGCTCGTGTACCTTTGCCATTTCGAAATCCGACCTGGTTCAAGTAGACGGCAACACTCTGCAGGTTGTTGGTTGGAGAGTTTCTCTCGCCGGCCAGCACGATGCTCGGTGCACGGAGGGCGTCTTTGCTCACAAGCAGTTAGCGCATCCGAGCATCCAAACATGGGCATTTGATCTCGCATCCAAGCGCTGCGACGTCACATCGATCATGCAACAGTTTCAAGGCAGCACCTCGAACCCGCCACCCGTCCCACACCCGTCTTGGAACGTTCCACTGACGTCTGGTCGTTGGTATCCGTCGCGTGACGCTTTACGCATGATGGTCAAGGCTTTCAACCCTGAGACGGCTGGTTCCGAGGCAATGCGCATGGAAGATTTGTTAATTAGCCCAACCTCGTGTGCGCTGACGCACCCGCATCCTGTGGGTCGGTGTGGAGTTTGCCCTGGCATCAAGTCATTTAAACAGTATCCAGACGTACTCTTTCATCAGCCCCAGGATCCTAATTGCCGTGATTCGCCAGGCATTCTTGTTCTGCTCACGCCGTGCCAACGGGCGATGTGGAGCTCGCTGCGCCCTCAAGTCCTGTTCCTCGACACCACCTACAAGGTGACCAAGCTACGCTGGGGCTTGACAGCGCTTGTTGCAGCAGACGAGTGCGGTTCGGCCGTTCCCCTCGCGTTCATGATAGCCTCCAACGATACCGCGGCAGTGTACGCAAAATTCTTGTCGGTGCTCAAGGAGGCGCTCGGCTCTTGCTTCCAGCCTCTGCGTTTTGTGATTGACAAGTGCAAAGCCGAGGCAGCTGCCATCAGGGAGGCCGTCAATGTTCAGATTTCCACTTGCTGGTTTCATGTCAAGCAGGCCGTCCTGCGCAATATTTCTCATCCCGACATTGAGAAGATCCTCAAGAAAGTTCGGCGTTCCAGGTCCCTGGAGGAGCTTGAAAGCCGCGTGAAGAGCGTCAGAGAGGCCGGACTGAGCGAGAAGGACTTGGCGTACCTGGAGAAAGAATGGTTTGCCAAGGGCCAAATCGAAACCTGGACGCTTCCGCATATCGGAACCATCCCGACAGCGTTGGACCAGGGTTCTACCAACAATTTGATTGAGAGGTGAGTGACCGATCGGTTTGGAGAGGCTTTGTACTTAAACTGGCGTCCCCCACTTTGCTGATCTTGCTTGCCTTCGTTGTTGTCTCGCACGCAGACTCTTCAAGTCAATCAAAATGACGCATCTCAACTCCAACTCGAACTCGGATTTGCCAACGCTGGCGACCAAGCTCATTCGGGATGTCAATGAGAAGTTTTGCTTGAAACGTCAATGGCTCCTCGTCAACGTTCCAAATCTCGCCTGCCTCCCCAAGTATCGCGAGCGTATCTGGAACTACGAGTCGACAGCCAAGGCCAGAGTGCTGGACAACCGTGTCGTGATACTCGACAACAACGCTGGTGTTGGCATGGTGATCCCGGAATCAGCAACCCTACGCAGCGAGGACTTGAGGGACTTTGCAACCGGTCACATGAAGACCCACGGACTTGGTCAAAGCACCGATATCGGAGACTATGCGTTGGTACCACAGGACTACTGGCACAAATTGCGCGACGATATTTATCGGGGATACAAGAAGAGTGTTACCCTCGTCGTCGTCAAGTCCCGTTTTTGCACCGACTTCCACGACTGCTCCCTCGTGTGCACGCACATTAGAGCTGCTGCCCGCCGGCTTGGTGGACTGGAAGTGTTTGGTATCGCGTTGGACGCGCTCATTCAAGATCGTGAGGCTCCAAGTCCTGTCCGCACAACTGCAGATCCTGAGACGCCTGTCTCAGTTGGTGCAGATGTTCCGCAAGACCAGAACTCGAGTGAACCAAGTTATGAGCACGGCAGTGGCGATGGCATGCATGTCAGGGAAGCAGAAATGTTTGAACCGACTTCTTCGACTGTTTCGACTTCGTCTACGGCAGCGGAAGAGGTTACACCCTCGGTCGCACCACCCTCGGTTGCACCACCCTCAGTTGCACCCTCACTTGCACCCTCGGTTGCACCCTCAGTTGCACCCTCAGTTGCACCCTCACTTGCACCCTCAGTTGCACCTTCGATCACACTACCGTCAATACGCACAGCTATGCAGGCTACGAGCCTGTTTCAAGACGACGACTCCGACTCCGACGACAGCGACTCACCACCTTTGAGGCACTCGTCCCAGGCGCAGAAAGTCGTCCACGAGATCTCGCTTCGACTGCAGCCAGTGTTTGATGATTTGCAAAAATTATCTTTGCCAGTCAAAGCGCTCGCAACCGTCGTGAAGGCAGTTCGAACGTTCGCTACCCGCTCCCTGAGTTCAGTCTCTCGACAGCGAGCAATGCGCACCCTGTTTACTGATAAAACTTTTAATCAAACAAAGCGGCAGGCTCAAAAGACCCGGGCAGCGACTATCAGAGCGAAGCGAGCTGCAGCGTACGCAAAGCACACAGAGTACGCTGCTCGCAAAGTGCCGGGCGTCAAGCCGAGCTTCAGACCCGCTGTCAGGCCACCAAAGTCCTCACTGCGCGCCAGCGCTGCGTACATCGTCGCTGGCGATGTGGAAGCGTTTGAAAGGTCGGAAGATCAGCGCCGTCGTTCTGCGCAAATGCCCGTCAACTCCGTTGCCAACAGCTCCAGTCAAAGTGCTCCAGCAGATGGTTTGACGGAGACTGCTGGCACACGGCGGCGCAGAGCTCTATCGCTTGATGCGGGCACCAACTCGTCCGAGGAGAGCTCACGCAAGCGCGCTCGTCTTGACGCCGCCTCGAAACATTGGTTTGATCACCTCTATCAAGACAACGCTGGTTTACCTGCCAATGCTCGCCCCAGTCGATCTCGGCAACACGTGTTTGGCAACCGCGAGCCTGACAGTGATGATGGCGATTTGAGCGACACGGACAGCGACGACGACAGCCAGCCTTTTGAGCCCGACCTGCGCGACCTGGACCGGTCCGATCGAACGTTTTTGAAAAGATGTGCCTCCCAACAACGTCCGTAGCGCAACTTTGCGCACACACACCCCTCCTGTGCACAGATTTGGGCGGTACTGCTGACCACAGCCTTTGCTTTGTTGTGTTGCCGAATAAACGCATGTCTTTGCAACCGTACTGTCGGGCCGTGTTTGATCATAATCCTCCCTTCTCTGATCCCACGTATAGAATGTACATTTTAGATACTCGGTCCGGTGCGCGCGCGGTGGGAGCAGGTCTGCATATCGCGTAGCAGCATGTTGGCAAGTTTCACAAGAAACGCTGCATTCGCGAGGTCCTTTTTTTTTTTTTCTAAGTTCGTTGTTCTGCTTTCTCCTAGAGCGTGTTCTGGGCAGCTACCAGAAGGACCATACGATCCGGTCCGCAGCTCAAACGATGAAGTTGGTGCATGATGTGGACCTCCCAACGCGTGCTAAACATGCCGGTTGAGCTGTCTAGGGACCACGGTGAGGTGGGTCGCGCGCGCGTGAAAACCACACTCCACAACCCCCTCCGCCGCGCAGCCTACGCCGAGTCTACCGCCATCCACGGACAACAGATGGGGGTTTTAACGCACAACAACTCAGATTTTATTGGAGAGAGGAGGGGACAGCGTCTCGTGACGGAGGCGATTTGGGGGGCTTCATATGGGGAGCACTCTTCCTTCACCATTCGCATACGTCAGCATCATTCGAAGTGTGGTAAATTAAAACAGCGAAAAACAAAGACTGCCGAACAACCTCAAAGCGATCCAATCCTTAGTGTGTATTGGCTCGTTCTAGGTCCGTGCTCGGCGTTCATGGTCATGGTTGAGCAACTTTAGTCGAAAAGTGGACGTGCATTGGCGTGTAGTGTCCTGGCGGACCAGCAACCAATCACATCTCAAAGCAAACAAAGCCAGTATAAGAAAGCATGATTGAAACTTCGGTTAAGATCGTCCAAAAGCCAATGGAAGGAGATGAGTTTGCAGTCGGAGAGAAGAGCCAATCTAAAACTCGATGCAATCATCAGCAGCGGCGCAATCCCGCTCATCATTTTCCTCAATTAACAAAGTTTGACCGCCAGTAGTGGATCTTGGTCCTCAACCTGTACAATCGCACGAGAAAGTTTACCGTCTTGAATGAGGCCTGCCTTGATTGCCTTTCCTCGAGGCCACGCTGCATCCAAGACGTGATTGACGAGAATGGTGGCTGTTCTGAATACTAAAGTGGAGCTTGCTTGATTTGGTTGATTCTTTGCGTGAGTCGAAATGAATTTTTGTGCTTTTTGTGCACACAGTACAAATTGACAATGTCAACTGCATTCCACATTCATGTTGTTTGGCTGTTGAACAAGCATCTCTCTACTCACGCTTTGTCACATTTTACGAGGGCGGCAGAAGTGTGGTGAGCGATAATGACATGCAATCGTGCAGTGCAAGGAGCGGTTTCAAGGAACTGTCATCTGGAAGCCTTGAGCGAATTGCTCCAGGTCGCCGCGGTGCATCACCCACGAAAGCGGCGGCGGATTTGCAATCGTCACTCGAGACGTCAACATGACTCCGACAAGAATCACAGTGCCTTCTTCCATGACATACTTTCGGGCGAGTTCCCTCCGAGCATTTGTTTCCAGTCTCTCAATCTCGTCTTGGGTGGTGAGACGAAGAGACTTGTGATGCTTTACTTGCAGTCCAATGACTGCCGGACGCACTTTGCCGCTGGTCTGCAATCACATTATGCCAACAACCGTGAATAAAGATCCAAACCACAACAGGGCGGTCGGGTTTGGCAACTTACTTTCTCGACGACTTGAGCATGCATGTACCAGTCAATCGCCGGTTCAATGTGAGTTGCGAATGTACATTCAGCATTGTCGAGCTTCATCATGCACGTCAGGTCTTCCCTCCAATTGCTCAGCGGCAATCGAAGTTGGAGTCCCTCACATCCCGCACCAAACTTGACGCCAGGTAGCACCCGACTCAGCGGTACATCAATGTGAGCCGGCAGCTGTGGTGCACCAGTCTGGTCTGATGCGTCAAGCTGTTTTGAAGCGTCAAGCTGCTTCGAAGCGTCAGCATGATCCAGCAGTGCTTTGGCGACAAGTACAGTCAATCGCAAGTTGAAAAGGATGCCCACAGTATGCTCCCACTCAACTGCAGGAAGATAACGCTGCGTGAAATGATGCTCCATCTTGCGCTGAAGGTCGGCGACATGGCCGTAGGCCGAGCGCACCGTTTGTGCGAGCGTGTCACGTCTTAGTGGAGCGTCACCCGAAAGAAGATCTGCAAACACTCAACGAGCGCGTCAACTTGTCGTTTCTCATGTCACAGAAGCAATTCCCCAAATTCTCACCAAGTTTTATCTTGTCGTGCAAATTGAACTGCAACGACCCTCTGCTGTCTTTCTCGCACGCTGTTGTTTGTCATCAACAAGACCGAAGGAGTCAACACAACAATCAGTCAAGTCCAGCATCTTGAAGTGTGACAACCAGCCAACTGACCGACGAAGGCACATCCTGTGTTAATCCAAGAGCGAGTTCGGGCATCCAGACTTGAAGGATTGATCGAGAACGCGTCGAACGCACAGAAGTGCACGAGTTCGATAAACTTGCGGGCATTCAGACAGAGTGTAGCCGCCGCGCCACTTGCCATCACACCAAGAACCTTCTCAATGTGGCATGGTATGCCACCGGAAGGATGCAACTGGCTCTCGAGGTTTGCATCCTCGCGCTTGGGTTCAGGCACCTCCTCCTCATCCACGTTGTATTTGCTTGAAGCAGAGGTTTGAGAGTGGAGCGACTCAATCAGGCCAGTGGTGAGGTCATCGGACAAAGTGCCAGCGTAAAGCACAAAGAGTCGCGCTGCGGTGCGCTTAACGGCAGCCTTGAGTGACGCGAGAGTCTTGTCCAGCAGCCGACGTTGACGTTGAGCGTTGTGCCAGCTCGAACAGCCAAGCAACTGTTGAATTCCGTCAACAGCGATGGCAAGCCACGGCAGTTGATCATGACTCGTGGGCTGCTGACTGTCGTTACGAGCCGAGTACTCCAAACTCTTGGATGAACTGGAGCGTAGCAGCGACCTGGAAGCTGCCAGTTTGTTCAAAGTTGTCCTGAAAAAACCTCGGGGGAATTTCAAAGTAGGCAGCCAGCAGGCGAGTCGACAGAGCGTGCTCCGGATTGGCTTGCTTGAGAACTGTCCAGTCGTTCGCAGAGTCGAAACCGGAAGGACCGTCGAAAGAGACGGATAAGCACAACGGATCGTTTTCTCTGTAACGATGAGCTTCCGGGGCAATTTGATGCACAAACGCGTCGCACAGACCCGAGTTCCCAGTACCAGGGATTGTGGCAGCAAGAAACGACCGATGCTCAAGTGGATCGGTGTCGTTTGCGAGTATCTTTTTCATCCGTTTCTTCAGCAGCGCCTCGATGGAGGAGGAGGTTTCCTTCTGTCGTGTGTAGCGGGCCTGCAGAGCAACAACATTAGACAAACTTCATTATTCGGTCATCAAGCTCGACTAGAAACGTACGTTTTTTGGTTGCTTTCGCTCCAATGTGATCAGGCCACGGAGCGAATCGCGGATCATGGCTGGCGTGCTTTTCAGCTCTCCTGTTGTTCCAGCATGCGTTCATGAGCGCGCACACATTAGTCGAAACAGCTCGCACCAATCTCGTCAAACGGCGCTTACGGAATGGCGCTTGAAGAAGTGGCTGTTGTAAATCACGGTACTGCTGTTGTTCCTCGGCTGTGAGGTGAGCAGGGACCTGTGGACAAAACATGCAATTGTCAGTCTGAGGAGCAAACCACCAATCCATCTCAGAAACCAAGCGTCTTTGAGCACTGACTTGCACTGGCGCAGCCTGGCTGCTGTTGGTTGCTAAACCAGCACCCTGCTTTGAACACACATCGTCAGCTTCAACCTTCAACAGAAACTGCACATTTCCCACTCACTGTGTCGTCAATCGTTATTGTGAAAGTTGACGCCCGCTTTGCACGCGCCAAAGCTGAGCTCGATTTTCGAGCGCTTGGGAAGACTCTGCCGCGTGTTTGCCCAAACATGTCGTCCTACCAAGACATCGGTGAAGGTTAAAACTCCAGAGTTTCAAAAAAACGGGGAAAAAGGTGGGTTAGGCGGAATGGAAAGGCCATGCCATGTTTGACGGCTTTAGAATAAAGCCTTTAATGTGTTGCACGGGGAAGGAAGTTGACTGGGCGGATGGGTGCGTGAGTCGGTGGGTGAAGAGTATTCGAGAAGAAACAACACAAAAAAGGCGCGCAAAACTGCCAAGACACAGGCAACGTTTGTCCACTTACGGCTGCCAGTTTTGACTGTTTCGGCGGCCTCACTTCACTAGCATCTGAAAGTGCTTCAGATGCGCGACGTGCATTCGCCTTCCGACTTGCGGCCGGTGGAAACGGAGCCGTTTGCGGGTTGCGCTTGGACGACATTGAAAAACAACGGAAAGTGACTGAGCCAAGATGTGACACAGACACTTTTTAGGATGATGGCATCGTCAAAGAGCTCCATTTGCATATGGCCCATCAACTCGATAGCAGAGGTGGGTTCGGGAAACGAATGTAATTCTACAGCAAGGATCGATCAATTGATGCCTCCTTCGCAGGCCATTCATCGTTGAACTCGAGCATCGTCAATAATCGAAAACTCTCTCGCTTCTGGTTCTTTCGTTTTTGTAAATTTGAAGCAAATCGTATTTTTGTCTGTCCCTGCTCTACTTCTTCCCCTCCCCCCTTTCCACCTGTCCCTCCTGTAAGCCTCCCTTCTGCCTTTTCGTTGTATCCGTAGTCAATGTGAAGATGAAATTCAACGCAGCATTACAATGCGACCCTGCACCTCTGCACCTCTCATTCACGTCGCAGCGACCTTGCACCAACGGTCCTTGTCAGCCAACGCCGCGCAAAAGAACGAGGTCAACCTCAAACTCACCAGTTCAGCTGCAATGCTCAGAGTGAATTGCAACCGATGCAAGCAACAAAACAAATGTAAATTTCTTTCACAAACCAAAAACAACAATCAAACGCACCAATTCGCGAGAGACCTGTTGAGAAGCAAGCCACGGCACAAAAAAGAGCCGCGGCGTCTCGACGAAAAAGACGAACAACCCAAAAAAAACTCCAATTAAAGCTCAACGAGCTGCTGTGCAAGAATTTGGCTCATGTCCAGCTTAAGGAAGGGGCGCGCGTAGGCGGGAACGACAACGCCCGAAGTCGTGTTGGAAGCGACGCCAATATACATGACGTTGTTGCCAAAATCGTATGCAGCAGCATGCAGATCGCCAGTTTGGAACGGACCGATGACCTGGCGGATAATGGTCTCAGCATCGAGCTGGCCGTAGTTGGCGGTCACCAACGACGTCATGCAGGGGTCGTTGCTAGGCTGGACATGCTTGTCGACAAAGACAAGGCCTGTTTGTTGTTAGGAGGAAAGGGAATGTGTCAAGTGAGAGAAGACCATACGTAGATCGAGCAAGTCTGTGCTCTCTCTCGCTCCCTCCTCCCTCTTTCACAATCGGCATGTGCAACACATTCTCAAATTCCCCAAAGCTCCATTTTACCTTCCATCAGCGGGTGGTTGGCATAGGTCGGGTAGTTGACATCGTCAAAAACGTTGAGGCTCGGGTTGGAATACTCGCAAGCACGGAACTGGTTGTCGTGCGAGCTGCCAATGCCCACAAAGATGGCGCAGGTGCGGGGGTTGTTGACCATGCGGTTGATGGCGTCAGAAAGCGAGCGGTCGTACTGCGCAATATCACGGAGCAAAAAGTGGAAGGGAATGCCGGCGCGCGACGAGGTTTCGTTGTAGCCAGCCCACACCTTCTCAGAGACGCCCATCTTGTGCGAGTAGCCAGTGATGGAGCCAATAAAGCCCTTCCAGGCGAGGGAGGCAAACTCGTTGCCGTCGCCTGCCTGCGGGTGCGAAACGAGGAGCAGAGGGTAGTTGGTCAAAGGGCTATCCGTGCCCCAGTCCAGAGCGCGCAGCTGGAAGACAGTGCCGTTGGTCTTGGCGATCGCAGGGCCCCAGCTGCCCATCATGGAGCAAGCGGCCTTGATGAGCTCTGGGAACATGTGCAGGTTGATGACCTGCTTGTATGGGATGCCAGCTAATCAAAGAAGAAATGGGGCAAAACGCCAAACCCAACAAGCACACAAACACAGTCAGCACACACACACAAACACAGTAAGCACACACTCAGCGTTTGTGTAGGCAATGTTGTTTTTGTATTTGTTTGCACATACAGCCGTCAGCGAGGCCTTGCATCTCGTCAAAGAAACGCTGTGGAGTGTGAGCCTTGGTGAGTTCGAAGGTGTACTCGAGGCCAGCAATGACGCCGTCGCGCTCGATGATGATCTGGATGTCCTTGGGGAGCGCCTTGAGGTACTGTTCGTTCGAGAATCAGTGAAGGAGTTCCACAAATGCGTGAGTTTCGCGAGTGTGTTGTTTGTTTGTTTTGTTTGTTTGTTTGTTTGAGCGTGTGATGGCTGCTTGTTGCAGTTGCCACTTGTTGTGTGGCTGATTGTTGGATTGTTGTTGTGTGGCTTGCGCAACGATGCGGGGATTTTGATTTTTTTTTTTTTTTTTAACTTGGTTCTTTTTCTTCGACAATTGGTGTTTTGTCAAACTGTTGCACTTTGGCACTGAATAGTGATTGGCAAAGAACGAGCAAACCCAGAACGAGGCGACAGACAGAGCGAGGACGAAGAGGTCGGAACGGAAACGGCGGAAAAGGACAAAGATCAATCACCAGTCCTGCGTCGCACCGACACTCTTTGCGCTCATAGAACGACACTCACTCACTCACTCACTCACTCACTCACTCACTCACTCACTCACTCAATGCAAAGTGACCGTGTTATGATTGAGTGAGTCTCTCCAAAGCACACTGTTCCCCAACAGAAAAAACAAACAAAACAATAAAAAATAAAATAAAAAGCGGCAAAAGTCCCTTCCGCTCTCACTTTCCCCGCTCGCTCTCTCCGTCCGCTCTCCGCTCCCTCCTCCATCCCATGCGCACGCGCGCCTGCTCACCCCTCTCGACTGTCGCACAGGGCCACTTGCGCACTTCCATCAATCAAACAAATTCCAAAAAAAAAAAAAAAAAAAAGCTCCACTCCAAAATCCACGAGTCTGTATTTTTTTTTTTGTTTTTTTTTTGGTGATCTGCTTTGCGTTTTGTTTGCTTTTGCTTTGCGCACCGGAGCAATCTGCTGGTAGAGGTAGCCAAAGAACTGGGGGTAGAGAGCCTGGATGTCGTCCTTGAGGAGCTGGCCGTGGGCAAAGCCGCGGTCGTAGGCGCTGCCGTAAACGTGGGCGACCTGGACAATGCCGCTCGCCGCGTCGCCAACCGACCAAAGCGTGCCGTTCGCCACAGTGCGCACCAGCGTCGGGGTTCCGCTCCAGAAGGTGTTTGTGTTGACGTTGCCTGCGCAGTTGGTGCCGACGCCCGCAGCCGATGCAGCCGAGGCAGCAGCAGCGACGACAGCGGCGATCACGACCAGCAGACTCGCAGCAGACCCGTTCTTCATCATGGCAAAAAACAAGACAAAAAAAGAGACAATGAAGAATGAACACCTCGACAGCATCATTTATAAATCTAGAATAAAGCGACAATGCCCAGACCAAGTCCGAATTGAGAAAGGGAGGCGGGGGAAGTGGGGGGGGGGCCAAAGCATAGAGAGCAATCGACAAAGAGCTGGCCATTTGTGACAAAGTCGACCCATGTACATGTATAAAAACAACATTAGAAACGCCGAAGAGCAGGAGTTGCACCGGCAAGTATTGCGAGGACATTGTGGAATGGACCCAAACCCGACCGAACAAACGCTCGAACGAACGATCGATCAAAAGGCGCGAAGGATTTTTGATGAGATTCGCAACTAGTCACAATCTAACAAGCACTACGCAAAACCAGCTCTACATGAAAACAAAACGAGCCATCACACTCAATCAATGCCGGCGTGTGGTGGCTTTGGTTGGCTCGGCGGCGATGGGAACGGTCGATTGGGTTGAATTGTGCGTGTGGCGATAGTACACGACGGCGCCAACGGCAAGAACTCCCTGGCAAGCAAACACATGCAGTCAGTCAGTCACAAGATGACCCAGGCAAGCGAGTGTTGCATGTGACAAAGGGGGAACGGGGAGAACCTCGTTCAGTGAGGCTCCTCTTCAATCTGCTGCAACTTGACCCCCACCCCCACCCTTCCTCTTTTCATTTGCCCATGTGGAAGCTGCATGTCCCATTATCATGCCACCAGCTCAAGAAGAACGAGCCAACAGCAAGGATTAAACCGACTGCACAGGAGGACTGGCTTTGAACGCGCACATTTTGCATTCATCATGATGACCGCGCGCGCGAACGAACGCTGATGAGCAGTGGCCCGAACGCCCCTCCGCAACAGAACAACGCACACCCGACCGAAAGACCCCAACATGACTAACACTCACTCTCGCGTGTAGACTTTGAGTGCACTCTCTGCCGTCCCCAACCACCACTCAAACATCAGCAGCGTTCAAAATCGAGCGTTCAAACTTCGCACGCATACCGCTCCAACCAGCCAGAGAGCAGAGTTGTCCCTGCCAGTCCGAAGCGCTGGATGGGTGCCTGCTGGATAGGTGCCCATCTTTCGCCGGGCAGCACTGGACAAGTGACCTGATTGAGAGAGCGGTGACATGAATCCAAATGCTCAAAAAAGAAAAAAAAAAAAAGAAAACGAAAAAAAAAATCTCCCTTGATTGTTTAGAAAACTTGGAGTGAGCATACTGTAGTGTATTTAAGGAAGAGAACGACGACAACTAGAGTGAGACAATTAGGAATGGGGATGAGAGCGGGAGCCGAGAACGGGTGTTGTCACAAGCGCGTCCACATTGCGAGCCTCGAGGTGTCGGCGCAAGTTTGCCACACAGAGCGGCTGCTTGACTGCAACCATGTCCAGCACTCGTGTGGGTACGCCCGCCTTCAAGTCGACCTAGCAACAAAAACAAAAACATCCCCGCACACCCGCAAAAATTCAGCATTCATTCGAAACCGCATTCCAAAGCACTCCCTTCTCTCGCATTGCCTCGAAACTCACCTGCGTCACATAGGTCACCATGCATGACTTTGCATCGACTGGCTCGATAAACCATCCCGATGGATAGGCCTCGGCACGTTCAATGTTGGGTTGCACCGGACACAAGTCATGTTGAACAGACACACCAGCGACAATAAACTTGCCCGTGGCCTACCAACAATGACCAGAATGACATCAACCCTCATTCTACTCGGCACGCACAAAAACAACTGCCAACCCAATCGCTCCAAGTGTTTGGCACCATCCTCACCTCCTTGCGAGCCTTCACGACAACGCAAAAATCGCGAGCCATCTTCAACAAGCACTGGGTTGTCTCGTGCTGCATATGAACAAGTTGGGCCTCGGCTTCGTAATGCTGCAGGATTTGAACGCTCTTGACCAAGGAGTCGTAGATGGGTCGGCTCTTTGCGCTTCGCACGGCCTCAAACACAACTTGGGCAGGGACCTGAATCAGCCCTTTGCCCATCGAACTGCACTCATGCAAACACTCTATGGTTAGGCACCACTTGAAACGGCAAACACTCCAAATCAACCGATGCACTCACCGATGCACAGAACTGTTGGCGGTGGGCTTGCGAAGCAGGGTAACTCCACGCTCAAACCCTACAATCTTCCAGCCTGTGCCGACCAAAGACTCGGAGGCTTCCGACGAAAGCTGGTTTGGAAGAACGTCGGAAGTGTACATGGCCTCCGTCATCACCTCCCCCAGGGCTTGGTTGATTGCGAGCTCGAGGTGTGGTGGCAACGGCGTGTTGTTGTTGTTCGATTCCACAGATGAGACACTTGCGCGCGGTGCCTTTTCAGCGCGAGACAGAATGTGAGCGATTCACACGCAACAAGGCCACGACTAGCAAAGCGACACAAAAGTCGCGTGAGATGAAATGTACCTGCGTAGTTTCCTCGACTTTGAAATAATCCTCGTCCCAGCTATCGGCATCGCCGAATGCTGCTTCAGCGGAAGCCCCTGCGCTCGGCTCGTCCCCTTCCTCGTCGGGAGACTCGCGAGCTTCTTTGGCCGACTCTGCCGAAGCGGGAGCAGGTGGCACATGAATGTAGCTTGCGTGGTCTTTCACGCCCTTGATCACGTTACGAAGAAGATCGATGCACAACGGCTGGTCTGTCGTCACCTTGCTCACGAGCATTGCAGGAATATTCCCTACCCAAAAACAAACACGTGCAACATCAACAGGTGGTCCGCAAAGCCACGCTTTGAATGCAAGCCACTCAAAAATGTCCTTGCAGACTCACCTTTCAGATCGGCTTGCGTAATGTAGGTCACCATCGACGCCATCGGCTCGCCAGGAATCGGCCGGAAGACCCAACCCGTCACTTGCGCATCCGCGCGCACAAAGCCCTTGCGCTCGGGGCAGTTTGGATGGGTGACCGAACGAGCAGCCAACACACAGCGCCCATCCGTCAGAATCTTGATGAAAATGACAACGCAAAAGTCGCGGGCGGCCGTCGGCCACATGGCTTCGTACTCGAGATAGACGACCTTGCAGTAAATGTCCTGCAATTCATCGACAATGTGGCCTTGCTTGAACATGACGTCGTACAAGTTTCGTCGATTCACATCGAGTGTCAAGTCGAGCACCGCGCGCGGGGGAGCCTCCACCCGCCCCGTGCCCTTCACGCAGACACACGCCGCCGGACCGTCGACAGCGCGCTTGTACACTGCAATGTTTCTGCAGCGCACGCACACACACACACACACACACACACACACACACACACACACACACACACACACACACACACACACACATACACACACACACACACACACACACAAAAGTGAGCTTTCGATCCAGTGTGAAGGTGCTCTCGGCACCCAAAACAAAAAGAAACTCAAAAAAAAAAACATCATCACAACAGCAGCACCTCCACGACATACTTTTTGTTAAACTCGAGCCGCCAGCCTTCATTCTCGCCGCCATCCGCAACCTCCAGAATGTCCTTCAGGATGGCCATGCACGTGTCCTTGTACTGGTGGACGGGGACAAAGTCGTCATTGAACGGAAGTTTGCGAGTGACGCCTTCCTCCGCTTTGAGCAAAACGACAGGCTTGGGCACAATGGATTGAATTGGAGTCTGGCTTGTTGCTGCCGGTGCCGAATGTCGCGCAGTTGGAGCGGATTTCTGGCTGCTGGATGCGACTACGGGTGCTGAGCTGGCAGCAGCAGCAACAGAAGCCGACGAACGTGAAGCACTCATGGCTGCCGACCGGGTGGTTGCTGCATTGACTAGCGTATTCAAACGACCGGTCACAGAGAATACGGCCTCATTCTTGTGGGCTGCTGTCATGGCGCCGCTTTGAGCCACAGCAAGCAGACAACAAGTAGGGGACACGGCTTTCACGGCCACGCTCACGAGTGGGCGATTCGACGAAGGGTCAAAGTCGACGCTGACAAAGTCGGAAGGCGTCGAAGATGAAGCCGGGATGAACCTGGATGAGGAGATCAAGCGAGGTGGTCAGTATCGACACGAAAAAAAAAAAAAAAAAAAAAAAGGCGGCGCTTTCAAAAAGCATTGCCAAGGGCACTTACCTGGCGCGAAATACACGTCGACCGTCGAGGAGAGAGAGCTCCAGGACGTCCGTCTCCTGGTCTCGGGTCTGAGCAATTCGTGCACTCGTAACATTGCAAGTCCAAAGCCGCCAGCGCTCCGGGCGTTGCAGCAGCTCCACAACAAGCTGATGCAAATTCGGCGATTGACGGACGTTAGTCACAAGCGCTGAACATCATCCGACATGTCAGGTCGCAATGGTGAGCGCAAACAAAAAAACACCAACAGGTCGTTACCTCGGCTGGAACTGAGACGGCATTCAAGGCCAGCACAAGTTCTTGCTCGGAGGGACTTGTCCAGACGCGAGTTCCATGGACGATCTGAGTGATACACAGCCCAGCTTCACCCAAGTCTGCGGCCATATTCATCTAGAATCCGAGTGTACAAATCGTCGGTCAAACAGAATGAAGGAAATTGGTCAATGTTCCCTATGTCTCATCACCAATTGGGTGAGGTTGGGGTTTTTTGGTAGTTGTTGTTGTTCAACCATGCCTCGCCTTGTTGACATGCTTATTCGATTGTGGATGGCAATGTCGAGCTGGGCCGACGGAGCAGCAGCAGCAGCAGCGACAGATTGACTTGGCTGACAACCGAATTTACCACCTGTTTTGGCCGGCAAACGTCCTCCTCTGCTGTTCGCTCGGGTGGTGGCGATGGTGGTCATCCAAACAACTCCAAGTGACTTACGAGCGAGTGGATCTTGGTGGCTGCGGCCTGAGCTGCTGCGACTCTGGCGGAGCGGAGTTGTTCGCTGGTTGAGTCGCCCGTCGCCGATGTTGCCGCCGGGTCGTTCGCACTGGCAGCGCTGTGCACGCAGCAGCCGCAGCCAGCGGTTGAAGCATGTGCTGCAGAGGTCTTCGTCTTGTGGATTAGCGTCGGCATCGCCATCTGGACAATGCAGCATCATCGCAACCCAATTGTCAGTCCAATTGCTCAAATCTCGCCCCTCCAGTCACTCTCGCCCCCAGTCAATCCCGTCATCACTCAATCCATCAGTTCTCAGAAAGCAGAGTCGGTTATTGTTATTTGCTGCAGTGTCGTTCGTATGGATGGATGCGAGGTGCTGTTGTCACCTTGATCGCAATGCAGGCTGCACAAATCACAACCAAGCTCACGACGACCGACCACCAGTCGTCCACCACGATCGTCATCATGAAATCAAAAGACTGAGCGAGTGAATTATGAAAGGTGCAGTGCAACACATGCCGCAGTCAGAGTCCAAAGTATGATTGTGATGCAAATCCAGCGCACTCTGTCGTCATGCTTTGTTGTACCTCTGACGGTCATCCTTGCTTGTCTTCAATATATTGGAACTGCAATTGCCTTTTGCATCCCAAGTCACCGACGACCTTTACCTTGGTTTGTCAGCTCAGTCCATCTGTTGTTTCTGTTCGTTCTGACTCTCTCTTCTTCTTCTCCTCTTCGCTCTTTCTTGACTTGTTCTCTTTCTTTTTTTTTTCATTTCTTACGCTTGATCTCTTTTTTGATCACCGCCCCCCCCCCCTTCCTCCGCGCGCAATGGATCCGATGGACGTCAAGCCGACGCCGCAGCAGCTCAAACGCGAGCCAATGTCATCGCGCGCCGTTGCATCGCTCATCACCATCCCAGCCGACGACGACGAGTCCAAGTCGCAGTCGCAGTCGCAATCGCAGTCGCAGTCCCGTCAGTCACAGGGACAGGGACAGGGAGCAGAGCAGGTCGTCTACGAGCCAAGTGGAGCCGACTTTGACCAGTCCGAGAGCACGCTGCCAGCCGCAGACCAGGCCGCAGACCCCATCGTCAAAGCGGTAAGCAAAGCAAATCGGGCTCACATGTGGCAAGAGCACAGCCAAGGACCAACGCTCGCGGTCTCCGTCCAACGCAGCCCGTCCATTGATGAAGAAGAAGCTTCTGCTCTGCTCTGCACGAGGCGCCCAAATGCACAAAGCAGATACAAGGCATACGAAAGGACCACTACAAGACCCGGTCATACAAAACAAGTCCCATGCAACATGGATCCTGACAATAAGAAAGCAGACCGAAACAATAATGAGACACCATCAACATTATCAGTTTCACTACTGCTTCAAACGATCGTCAAACCAACACACTCTCGTCAAATACGACAAACAAGCATGCACTCACTTGAATTGCTTGCTTACTTGCTACTTTATATGTTGTGCTCGTTGTGCTTTTGTCGCAGTTTGACGTCGTCCTCACACGCTCGCTGGATGGCACGCTGTACCTCGTCCAATTCCCACTTCGCTCGCCGCTCAACAACTTTGATCAGCAGCAGCCGCAAGTGCGGTTCAAGCCTCGAAACCAGAAGGTAGAGCGTCAAACCGACCACTTTGCTGCTTTAGACGTTCTTCCTGCAAACTCACTCCCGTTTCTTTATTTCCCACCTCCAATGATGTCAACAGCTCGAGTTTGTCTCGGCAATCGCTCGCGGACAGTACTACGACCCCAATCGTGGAAGTGCGCTGGCAAAATCCGCCAACGAGGGTGTCAAGCTCGCCCACGACGGTGTGCTGGCGGCGGGCGCGGCCGGTCCGTCTGCGGGTGCGACCGGCGGCGCTGCTGGTGGTCTGTCTGCGTCGGCTGCGGCTGCAGCCACTGTCTCGGCGCGTGCTGCCTTTGGAAGCGACACCGTCGCGGCTCATGCCGCGTTCACCACTTCGAGCTACACAACGACTGCCCAGCAGGTCGACACTGGCAAGGCGGAGGCCAAGCGCCCCTTCCCGTTCAACCAGATCGACCGCAGCATCCTCTCGTCGACCACTGTGCCCATTCGAGCGCACAACATGATTTGCTACACGCGCGGCGGGTCCATTTACACGCACCAGACATCCGGCATCTTGCAGATGCGACCCAATCTCGACTACATGGACATGGTTGTGGCTGCCGAAAAGGCCGAGATTGCCGAGACGGCCGCGGACGAAGATGGCAACGACGGGCTCTCGGCCGCCTCGAGTGCGGCAGGCGCAAGCGCAATGGACGCGGGCCAAGCCGCGGGCGACGAGGTTGTGCAGGTCAAGTTTGCCCGCAAAGAGTCAGAGAAGGCCCTGCAAGCTCGCAAGCGGTCGCACGCCTACTTGCAGGCGCAGCTCGAAGAGGAGAGCTGGAAGCCCATGACCTACTACAACACCACCAGCGATGTCGCCAGCTCCGCGTGGGACCGCTTTTTCGATGTTGCTGCCGACCCCGACAAGCTGCCATTGAGCGCGCTGCAACTGGAGACGCGCGACTACCTTGGACTGTTGAGTCCCGTGCATCAGCAAGGCACGCAGTTTTCGGCTGGCCCTGTCGCGCGCGGCGTGTCGAGCAACAGCTCGCTCTCCGACCGCGTCTTTTCCATTCTCGTCAATGCTCAGATTCTCTCCACCGACCAGCTCTTCGAGCTGCTTGGTGTGACGGACGAGCGTGCCATTATCGCTGCAGCAGAGCCATGCGCCGGCCTTGTTCGTGGCAATTGGATTGTCAAGAGCGACTTGCTTTTCAGCGGCCAAACGCACAGCGCCACGACCGACACCAGCGTCAAGCAGCTCATTCGTTGTCGCGACTGTGTCCTGCACTTGTTTACCACCAAGCGTGTTGTCACCCGCAAAGAGATTCTCGAGCTCGTCAAAATCCAGACAGAAGACTTGACCGAGATTCTCCACGGCATTGCTCAGCCGCGCCAGCACGAGGGATACTATTTGAAAAACCCAGACCAGGAGGACTTTATGAGTCGGTAAGTTGGAATGTTCGAGGTTTCTTCCAAATACTGGCTGCACGCATGTCCTGACCACCGTTTCGTCGTGCTACTTCCGATAACTTTCTGTAGTCATTCTCATTTGGTTTTCAAGCACATGCAAATGTGGGAAGCTTTGCGACACCAGTAAGCGCCCGAGTGGCATTGGAATTTCATCGATTTGGTTTTTTGTTTATTCTGTTCTCAACGTTTGTCCTCCCGCCTGTTGCCTCGACTCGATAGGAGCCAGCTCGGCAATGTCAAGCGCGACGAAGACAAGCCCGCCGTCAAGGAGGAAGTCTTGGCGCCGTACGCGCCCTTGGAACCGCCGTCCGGCAACAACATGAACGAGCAACTCAACTCGTTCATGACGGACGTGCTGAAGCATTACGGCGTTGTCACTCATAGTCTGATTGTTGAGGCATTGAATGCAGCGCGCAGCGGTAAGCAACGTGTTTGTCATTGTCGCGGCATTTTTGCTTTGCGATTATTGATCTTGTTTTGTTTGTGTGTGTGTTTTGCTGGTTGATGTTGTTGCTGATTGTCGCTTCCAGTCATGCCTGAAAAGAACTACTTGTCGCAAGTCAGTGAAAACGACCTTCGCCAGGCCCTTGTGCGGCACTGCGTGTCGTTTGGCTCGATGGGCAAGTTGGTCGCCAAGTCGAGTGGCGATCCCAAGCTGGATCGGGTAAGGGTCGTATTTCCTTTGTTTGTTCCCTTTGTTTGGTTGTAGTGTTTACATCTCACTGGAGCTCCCGTGCCTTTGGCCTGTTTTTTTTTTCAGTTCCGCGATGCATTCATTCGCTTTGCGGGTGACAAGACACAATTCAAGCGGTCCGACGCGCTCACGGCCATCAAACTGGCTGCTGGAGAAGATCCGCCGACGGCTGCGTACAACAAGATCACCAAGGAGTTTGCCTACAGCAAGGCCAACAGCTGGGTGTTGAAGACTGGCTCCCTGATGGACAGTGCGGCTCCATCCGCGCCATGAGTTGTGTTTTCTTTTGTTTGGCATGTTTTGCCTTGTTGCTCAAGCGAGTACACATTGTTCGTGCTTGTACTGCAATTTCACCATACAGCCATCTCGATGCTCGTCTCTCTTTGTTCGCCCCCCTCCCCCTTCTTCGTCATACTCTTTGTGCACTGCTGTATAAGTTGAGCGTTTTCCCGCCAAATTTCCACTTTCCATTTCTTTTTTTTTTCTTTTTTTTTTCGGTCCACTCTTTTTCTCTCCTCCCATTCCCTTCCTCCCTCCGGCGCTCCTCACCCTTTCCCCCCCCCCCCCACGCCAACCCCAACATGAGCTCAAAGCACCGCGGCGGTGGTGGCAATGCGCGTCGTGGTGGTCGCGGCGGCGGTCCTTCAGCTGCTGCTTCGACCGCTGCTGCTGCTGCTGCTGCTGCTTCACCGTCCTCATCATCGCAGGCCGTGCTCGCAACAGCAGCATCGCAGCAAGCCGCAGCAGCCGCAGCAGCAGCCGCAGCATCAGCATCAGCATCAGCGGGTGCCCCAGCGCCAGTCCCAGCAAGAGGCCCAGCATCAGCAGCATCAACATCAGCAGCAGGAGAGCAGTCCCATCGCACGGGCAGCCCAGCATCGTCGCACCACCATCAGCACCACCAGCATCAGCATCAGCACCAGCAGCACCAGCACCACCAGCATGGCAAGTCTGCTGCTGCAGCTGGGTCACCCCAGTCGGCGCCCCGTCGCGGCCAGCAGCACCAGGCACAGTCATCGCCATCCTCAGCATCAGCATCAGCATCGTCAGCAGCAGCATCATCAGCAGCAGCATCAGGTGGTGCTGGGTTTGGATTGCCGCCGTCGCCAGTCGCCAACCCAACCACAGCGAGCAGCTCGTCTGGCAAGAAGCCGCACCAGCAACGCCAGCAGCAGTTGCTCCAAGCGCAGCAACAGCAACAGCAGCAGCAACAGCAACAGCAACAGCAACAAGCTCAGCAGTACAACCATCACCATCAGCAGCACCATCCAAAGCCAAACGCTGCTGCCAACAATGGCCAAGGCGGACCCGTTCGAGCACCAAGCGCACCGCCCTCTGTGGGTGCACCACCGGGATCGTCAGGAGCATCAGGAGCATCAGGAGCATCAGGACCAGCTGGAGCGGCCATGTCTGCGCCGTTCAATCCTGCCGCTGGCTCACTCTCAAGCTCAAGCTCAAACGCAGGGTACATTGCATCCACCTCCACTCTGGCTTCAAACGCACCGGCGTTTGTACCGGCCGCGCACGCTGCTGCACAGCTCCACCACCAGCAGCAGCAGCACCAGCAGTTGCTGCACCACTCGCTGCAGAGTGAGCGATCCGCGTCCGTCCCGCCGCAGCTCAACGCCCCTGCATTCGTCCCCATGGGAGCAGCAGGCACCTCGTCCAGCAACAGCAATGCAGGCAGCGCCAACAACCTGAGCGCGAGCAGACACCCATCCCACCTGCAGCACCAGCTTCAACTCGGAAACCAGCAGCCAATCCAGTACGCCTCGTCCGCTTCCGCTTCCACCACCTCCTCCTCGTCGTCGGGAAAGCCTCCGAGCTCTATTGCATCCGGATCAACCCTCAACCTCGCCTCGGAGGTCTTCCACCCAAGCTCATCCTTGCCTGCGACCCAGGCCGAAGCCGCGTTTCAATTTGCTGCCTTGTCTTCAGCTGCTGCGTCGTCTGATGCAACGCCGACCGCTTACCAGTCACGAGAATCGCTCGGTGGAACCACCTACTTTTACTCGAATGACGGGTCATCCGATGGTGCATCCGGCAATCCCAACAACAACAGCAACAATGGCGGCGCTGGCGGGAACGGACCGAACGGCGGCGCGGCAGAAGTCACCTTTGTCGAGGCCCAACAAGCACTCTACCACCACTATCCGTCGCACATTTCCCACATTCCAAACATCCCCGAAGGCGCGCAGTCATTCTTCATGCCGGACGACCTCCGCTACGAGCTCATCATGCGCAGCATGGTCATCCTGGCCCAGCCCGACCCTGCCTCTCCGTTCGCTGCCTTCATCCCGCAGCAAATCGACAAGGACCGCTACCACACCATCTACCCGCTCGACGAGCAGCCCCTGACCCCTCAAGCCGTGGCAAATCGCTCGGCCGACTCGCGTCGCCTGTTTGGCTACCAAACGACCGTGTACAAGGGCATCCGAGACTCTGTGCCGTACTGCCTGCGACGCATCGAGGGCTTCCGCCTCACCAGCGACAAGCCCATGGCTGTTGTGAGGCAGTGGAAGCAGATTCGGCACAGCAGCATCGTGACCGTGCGAGACGCCTTCACCACCAAGGAGTTTGATGACCACTCGGTTGTGTTTGAGTACGACTTTCATCCGAACGCGGAAACGCTCGCCGCCAGGCATTTCTCGCCGCAGAGCGAAGCCTTGTCCGAGACCGTGTTTTGGAGCTACTTGATTCAGCTCACATCGGCCATTCGCACCGTGCATGCAGCAGGCCTCGCGTGCCGCGTGTTGGACGCAACCAAAGTGCTTGTGACAGGCCGCACTCGTCTCAAGATCAACTGCATGGGCATCATGGACATGATCACCTTTGACCCCACCAAGGGTGTTGGCAAACAGCATCCCTTCCTCCAGCACTACCAGCAGGAAGATCTCACCTCGCTCGGTCGGCTGTTGCTTGCTGTTTGCTGCCGCTCTGTCTCTGTGTTGGCCTCGCGCGAGTCCATCTCTCAAGGCTTGACCTATGTCAATCGAAATTACCATCAAGATGTTGCACAAGTCTTTGCGCACCTGCTTGGCGTCAACCGCAACCCCATTCGCAGCGTTTCCGAGCTCATGCCACTCATTGGCTCTCGATTTTTCACGGAACTGGAGTGCAGCGCAATGTAGGTCCTTTTTTTGCTTTGGCTTTTGGTCGTTTTTTTCTTGTCGATTTTCTTTCGGTTGTGTTTTTGGTTTTTGGTGTTCGACTGTCTTTGCTTTTTTTTTTTTGCTTTTTGTCTCAATTGGTAATGGTCTCATTTTGGATGCGTTGGGTGTGGCTGTTTTTTGACCCACAGGCAACACGAACTACTCGAAAACGAGCTTGCCAAAGAGCTGGAAAATGGCCGATTATTCCGTCTCATGGCGAAAATGTGCTTCATCAACGAGCGTGACGGGTAAGCGTGGTGGTCTGTCACTAGTTTGCACTGCTCACCAAAACTCACAACGCTACAATGTTGCACAACCACCTCAGCCTGCTCCTGGACACCTCTTGGTCTGAAACCGGCGATCGCTACCTGTTGAAGCTCTTCCGTGACTTTGTCTTCCACCAAGCTCTGGACACTGGCGAGCCTTGGATTGACCTTTCGCATGTCGTCCAGAGCTTGAACAAGGTGAGATTTTTTTGTTTTCTTGTGGTTTTTTTTTTTGTTTTTTTTTTGTTTGTTTTTTTTTTTCATTCACTTTGCGATTGGCATATTTGCTCACACCCTCCTCCACCTTGTGCCCTACTCCATGCGCGCTCTTGGCACTAACAGCTGGATGCAGGCTTCCCTGAAAAAATCGCGCTGTCTTCGCGTGACGAGCAGTCAATGCTGGTTGTGAGCTACAAGGATTTGAAGCGCTGCCTCGACACTGCCTTCCAAGAGCTGTTGGCTGCAACAAGTGCAGGTCGTTAGGCGCCAAACAACCTCGTTCCCCTTCCCCCAGCCCCCCCAAGTGCGCACAGATTGGGCGTGAGCCTATTTTGTGTGCGGTCTTGTTCTTGTTGTGCAATCTCTTTTTGTCTCTTTTTTCATCAATACGGAATAAATTACTTTTTGAACCATGAAACGTCTCGAATATTGTCGTAACAGGCATTCTATTGCATCTGAACAACTCTTGTGCAATGCCCGCCGACCGCACTACTTTGATCCAGACAAGCCAAACTGCGTGCGAGGCAAAATGTTGGCCGTGTGTCGAGGAACCGAGGAAGTGGAACCGCCCGCGCGTGTCCGACCAACCAAGCCCCCAGAAGCACTCGGATGCGTGGGCGTCGTCGTCGACCGCCCTTGGCCAGGAGCTCGAAATGCATTGTTGGGTGCTGGCATGTGGTACAAGCTCGTGATGCGCTCGTCCTCCGCGTCTGGAGCCGCATGAAGCAAAAAGGAGGAGGAGGAGGAGGAGGAGGAGGAGGGATCGTACATCCGTTTCGAGACGTGGACATCGGCAGGAACCACGTCCATTCGCATTGCCGATGCAGACGCCGAATTGGTGGTCTCGCGGAGCTGGCGCCGAATGGACTCTTGCTCCTCCTCGTGCGCAACGATTCTCTCGACCTCCATGTCCATGAGCGCGTTGAAGCTGACCGGGTCCGGGATCGCTGCAATACGCGCTTGGAGCGCCCCGAGGGTGGTGACGGCAAGCGCGCCACCGGGTTTGGTCGAAAACACTGACAGATCGGACACTTCGAGCACGGGAACTGCATGGCTCGACCCTGAAACGCGAACAAATCGCTGAACCAGTGCGTTTGAGATGGCCACGGTGGTGCCACGAGTCAGCTTGTCGCCCACACCCAGCCTGTCAAGGCCACCAGAGGTCTGGACCACAAACAGGCGCATGTGCTCCGATGCGTCGGCCAAAAACAAGCGATCGGGAATCACTGTCCGGCCAACAACGACGCCAACCGTGTCGACCTCAGAGCCAAGCGCAAGAGCCTCGATGCTCGAGCAATCGCAAAACTGCCTTGGCAGCATGGTTGCGCACTCTGGCACCGCTGGGAGCTCGGCATAGCGTGTGGATCGAATGGTGCCGACTTGAAGCGCGGCGCTGGCAAGCCCGTTGGAGCTGGATGCACCGCGGTAGGACGACGGGAGGAGCGAGTAGAATGCAACGTGCGCGCCTTCACGCAACAAATGCTCCAAGTCTTCGCTTGGTCTCCACACGGAAATCACCGTGGAGAGGGCAAACATTGCACTCTCAGATTCGCCAGCAGCCAGCAAGGCGCGCGCTCGTTGCGTGTCCATCACGCGGACCTTCATGAGCGAAGTGACGTCGCGTTTGGCGAGGATGCCGTTGGCGTCCAGTCCGGTGCCGAATTCGCCCATCCCGTGCTGAAGATCTTCCTCTTCATCCTTGTCAGCTTCATCATCGTGCTGTTCCTTGTTCGAGGCCAAAAGCTCATGCGATGCCAGCCGTTTTTCTTGCAGCTGCTCGACTTGGCGCGACAGCCGCTCTTCAAACAGCGTCAGCGCCCGTTCTTCCGCTCGTCGACTTCGAATGACCTTGCGCCCGTCTACAGTTTCGATAAAGACAGCCGGGTACTGGCGCAAAACCACAACATCGACGGCAGCAATCGCACCACCAGTCGGAGATGCGGTGCTCAGGGCGGTAAAGAACGGTGGTCGGCCTTGGTAGCCAAGGGATGCCCACCAACGAGCGCGCCGCGTCGCGTTTGCCGTCAGGCGCAAGCTCGTCTTTGCGGCGCCTGGTTCCAGCGGGCCAGCACCATCTCCGGGACCCACAAGCTCGGCGCTCGCAATAGCCAACTTGGTGCCAACAGCAATTTTGCCGCGCTGCACCAAAGCAGCAAGATCCCGATCGAGCTGTGCCTCAATGCTATACCACGAGTCTGTCAGTAGCACCTTGGCTGAGCAGCCCAAAGCAGCCGAAGAAGACTTGTGAGGGTTGCCGTTCGCAGTGGGAGCCGCAGCAGCTGGGCTGGCAGTTTCCGAACGCTGACTCTGATTGGGTTGGGGTGCGCCTCCAGGTCCGGAAAGAATCTCCGCAACGCAGAGCACCATGAATTTGGTCGGCACATCATCTCGCTCGTGAATTCGACGCAACGCAGAACGACGAGCGTGATTGACCTCGTACTCGTACCGTGCTCTCAGCTGCGTCATGACCCGCTGTGGCGTCAGGCATCTCTGGCGCGAGACGTGGTGCAGACGGGTGTCCTGGCTCGCGAGCTTCCAGACAATCCAGCGGAAATGGTTGGCAACCCACTCACCAGCGATCAGACTCAGCTTTACGCCAGGCACCTGACGCAGGGCAAGCTCAAATTCGGCTGCTCCAGCGCAACCATCCGTGCCAAGCTGCAGACTGACATTGTGGGTGGCGCCGCTTTCACCGCTGTACGCGGAAACGGTGAGCGGCAGAAATCCACCGGCAACGTCGGCAAGGTCCATATGCTCGGGGGCAGAAAAGCGGAATGTGCTTGCGTTGGCCGCAGTAATGGCCTTGGTTGGAGGAATTGGCGTCGGGTCCAGCATCCAGGCACGGAGGGGCGTTGGCTTTTGACCAGCAGGCAATGCTGGATGGAAGACGGCCGATTTTAACGCGAACGACGAGGCGCTCGGTAAGGAGCTCGCTCGGTTAGTCTTGTCGTGATGGCTGGTACTCGCGGTAGCAATGCGTGATTGCGCGGATGGATCGAGGAGGGGAGCAACAAAGCAATGCTTTTTGAACGCAGCCGAGGTCTCCACACCCTCCATCGCGCCAGCCACTCGCTTGTTTGCCAGACGCGTGTGCATCGACAGCGGCACGACCGTCGGCGACTGAGCCCGCGAAAGTTCCGGGGTAGAACTCGCGGATGTGCGTGCAGGCGGACGAAAAGGGCGCGAGCCGGAGGCCAGCAACGGCGAGGAGGCTGGTCCACCGCGATGGCTCGAAGGAGTCGGTGGCAGCGTTCTGCCACCAGTCACTGGCGTGGCCGGTGCTGTGGGCAGTTGCTGTTGATGCATCGCTGTCATCAGTGTTCGGTTTAGAATGGGAGTTTTAAACCCCGAAGTGTTTGGCGGAAGACCTCGGGATGCAGGAGGAGGAGGCGGCAGATCTGCAAGCTTTGGAGATGCAGGACGAGTATCGGAGCTGGACAGTTTGGCTCGAGCCCGCTCCAACGCTTCGGGCGCCACCGGCATTGGTCGGTTGGAAGCTGTCGAGAATCCTTCGAAACTTGCGGGCGACATTGGATTTGTCTGCACTGCATCCTGCTCTGCAAACATTGCACGAGCTTGGGCCAGGGCTTCTGAATCAATATGAACTGGCTTGTTTGATGCGGTGGTGAAGCCAGCGAACTTGACTGGAGCAGATGGTTGTGGTGCTTCGTCATGCTCGTCTTCTTCTGCCTCGTCAGCGTCGCCCATCATCGCTCGCGCGCGTGCCAAAGCTTGTGGATCGATGTGCACAGGTTTGTTCGATGCGGTGGTAAAGCCAGCGAACTTTGCAGGCGCAGGTGCATCCTCGTGCTCGTCTTCTTCTGCATCGTCAGCGTCGCCCATCATTGCCCTCGCGCGTGCCAAAGCCTGTGGATCAATGTGCACAGGCTTGTTTGACGCTGTGGTAAATCCGGTAAACTTGGGAACATGCCCTGAAGTCGCCGCCGAGCTGTCGGCAAGAGGACGGCCTGTTGCATCCTCGGACGAATCGGCAAACAAGGCACGAGCTCGCGCCAAGGCCTCGGGATTGATGTGCACCTGCTTGCCTGCCGCAGTAGAAAACCCCCCAAACGGCGGCATCGGTTCGACGGGACGCCGTTCAGGGTCGGAAAAGGTGGAATTGGGAGCTGCTTCCGATTCTGCCTCGTTCAGGTTCAGCTCAAGTCCCGGCTCGGCTGGAGCTGGCTCTTCAAAGTGCAGAACTCTGGTTGCGGTGGCAATTTCTTGCGAAAAGCTCCTTGGCAGCCCAGCAGCAGCAGCAGCAGCGGCAGCAGATCGTGATGATGCGTCGGGACTGGCAGCGGGAGCAGGAAAGAGAAGAGGTGGCATGGATACTGCAGGCATTGGGATGGTCGGGCCGGGAGACTGGAACTCGGCTCTCCACGCAAACTTGCCTGGTGTCAATTGGCGAACGTCTTCAAGCTGCTGCGCCGTTGGGAGATTCATGACTGTAAATTCGCTCGTCACGCTGAAGCTGCTGCGCGGAGAGGAGACTGGCGACGTGGACATGGGTACAGTAGCGATGGGAGGCTTCTCGGGAAAGAGCTCCCGAGCAAGCAGTCTGGACGGAGTGCCCGCGTAAGAGGCAGACGGAGTGACGGGAGCGGTCGATTCGAGCAACGACTGGGTCGGTTGATAGGAACCGGAAAGGAGCACAGTAGCATCAAGCGGCGATGCTCTGCTCACACTGACTGGAGCACGCAGAACATCCATGCGCAGTACTTGAGGAGTGATGATTGGCGAGGCTGAAAATGTCGGGTTGAGCCGATACTGCCCTCCGTCCATGTTGGCTCGATCAATGAGATCGCGCACAGCCAATGGCGTCACAAGATCAACGACAGTCGACGAGATACCGCCAGCATGGCCACCAGCACCGGCATTTGCGCGGCTGGGCTCGATTGGCGATTGCTCGAGAAAAGTGGATGAGATCGGGTGTGCATGAAAATCCGATGGATTGTCTCGCGATTGGTGTGACGGATCGAGCTGTTCATGTTGGTTCAACTTTGCTTGCTGAGCTTGCCCTCGCTTGGGTGGAGGAGCGTTGGCGCGCGGTGAAAAGAGCGACGAGGGTGATTTGTCGCCGTCCTGCACCATGAGAGCCGCTGCACGCCTCGAAGACGGAGGCGGTGAGCTGTAGTGTCCATATGGCACGGAAGGGATGGCAAACTCGACTGCTCGGGTGTAGGTGTGCTGGGCGGTCGCAGCAGGGCATGGGTTGTTGTTGGCTGGCAGTGCACACGGCGCCTCTTCGTCCACAGAGGGGCCAACGAGGACCATCACCGATGCATGCATGTCTGTAGCCAGGTTCTGCTGGCCGGGCGAGGGCGCGACGACGACGACAGGGGTCGGGTCGACCTGCAACTTGCCCGCCACATTGACAGGTTGAGCTTGATCGCTTGAGTGTCGAGCCGCGTGTCCTGCGATTTTGGGAGCCCAAAAAAGCGCCAATGTGGTGCGTTCAATGCAGAGTCGGTTCTCATCAGTTGTCGACAAACAACGCCACAAACAGTTGCAAAAGCCAAAGCAAAATCAAGGGCGCGCTTTTTGGTTGCAAGTTTTGAAACAGAGCTTTTGTTTCACTTTTTTTTTTTTTTTGCTTTGTTTGTTTCTCGTTGAGTGCTGTTCATTGTCATGCTCACCGTTTGCTGCTACGTGCGCTGAACCCACTTCGTCTTGCTGCTGCATCCGGTCGAGGCACTGCGCGGCGCGGAACAGCAGAGCAGTCCGCCGAGATGGCTGCGGCGCAGTTTTCGCGCCATTTTTTGCTTGGCTGTTGTTTTCGTCGTCGCCCTGGTCGCTGTGCGCCTGCTGTGCTCCCGACGCCTCTCCTCCGTGTTTGCTGTTGGCTGTGCCCGTGGCTGACTGCCGGGTGCTGCGGCGGCGGGGTCGGCGCATCCCCAGCGGCCGCAGCGTGTCAGAGCTGGCTGGCTTGCGGCCGCATTCACCCGCGCTGCTCACGACCACAGCCATCATTCGTGCTGAAAAAAAAAAAAAAAAAAGTGAGAGTGACCCCTTTCCCCAAAGAGCAATCGAAGTCATAGATGAATGACTGCTGAGACAGCAATCAAATCGGGGCTTTGCATGCTGAGAATTGAGAGGAACCTTCTTCGGATCCACTGAAAACAAACAGTCAAGTTGATTCTCGAGTTTTGGTTTTGCAACAGCTAGCAGCGTCGTCGCTTTGCAGCAAATATGCTTGTAAATATTCTTGCCATTCATTGTGGGTACAGAGCGGCACGTTTGTAGGGCTACAATGAGCCGATTCCGTGACTTTGCAAGATGGCAAAATGGAGCCAGCGGGAAGCGTGCGAGCCATCCCGCTTTCCGACGTTTTTGTGCTGCAAAGGGCTGAATTGGGTCATTTACTTGCATAATCGCATGCGTGTGTATCTGTAGCTGATTTATATAAATGCTAATTAGCAACCGATTTCGAAGGTCAAGCGCTCTTCGTGCAATGTGTTGCGAATCAGTGCAATTGCAAGTTGAAGGCTTTTTTTTTTTTTTTTTTTTTCGTTTTTCCCCGTGAAAGCGATCCGGCTTATGTTTTTTGCCATACCTGTGTGCATTGCATTCAATTGAATGTAGCACGAACTCAGATTGATTGTGCGTAGATTCAGAGTCGTCAATGCAAGTTCGGGCGTTCAAGTCAAACGCCTGAGATTGAATGTCTCTGTGCGCAACTTCCAGAGCACGAGACTTCGGTCAGCGTTATTCCAATAGAATAGTGCAGACCACAACCCACACAATCCTCGAGTTCAAGATCAGCGAACAGACCCGGTGCAACGTGCAGTAGCCGTAGATTGGGTCATTGTTTGATGCGTTTTTCCAATTCCCCCTTTGTGTTAGTATCAGTCCATGCGCCTTTGGTTTTTTCATTTTATTATGGTTGTTTTTGACTTGATTCTCGATTTGTCCACTCTTCCTTTTTTTTTTTGTTCCCCCATACAACAAATGTCCAAGTCGAGCGATGCTGTGCGTCACCATCGCGCTCTTCTCGTTCTCGTTGCTGCTTTCCCATTGTTGTCCATCTCACTGTCTCCTTCTTCCTGTCAACCCATGCTCCTCTCTCTCTCTCTCTCTCATCTTATCTCTCTCTCATCCTCTCTCTCTATCTCTATCTCTGGCTGTCCCTCTCTCGCTCTTCCGCTGCACGTCCTTGTGTGAATGAAGCGAGTCGGAGTTCCCCCAGTCTCTCTCTCTCTCTCTCTCTCTTTGCCCTCTTCTCCTCTTCCTCCTCCCCTCCCATTGCACCACGCTCTTCACTCTCTTCATCTCTCTCTCCATCTCTCTCTTTCTCCTTCCTTCCTTCCCCTCCTTCCTCCTTCCCTTCCCCTCGCTTTTTGACTCCACTCAACTTCCAACTCGTTTTGGATTTTTTATTTTATTCTTTAATCTCTACTTGTTCCCAACGCCTTACACGCAAACACTCAAACACTCGACTTTGACTTTTGACTCACCTCAATCTTACTCGATTTCTGTGTTTGAATCTTATGGTGGCCAGCCGCCGTCGTACGATGACATTGCCCGCGCGCCGCTGTACGACGATGTAGTCAGCAGCTCGCGCTCGGCCGCTCCTGCTGCGCACGGCGCTCACGGCGGTGGCAACGATGGCGTCGTCAACCTCGGCGCGCCACGACAGCCGTTCGGCTATGGATACCTGCCGGCCGGGGCTCAGCCAGGCGCTGGTCCTGCCTCTTCTTCAGCGCCAAGCGCAAGCGCGCCCATCTACTCGTCTCCCTCCGACGCGGCGGATGGTCCGATCTATGCCACACCTGCAAACCCAAACGCACTCTACGCGGCCGCTGCGCCTGACACGAGCTACGCCATGCCGCAGCAGTTTGCAAACAATCCGGCTGGGCTGTATGACAATCCGCCGCCGACAGGTGGTGCCGCCAGCTCGGCTCCAAGCGCGCCAGGATCGTATGACAACCCGCCGTCTCGACTGTCGGCCAAAGGCGCGCCAGAGGCATCCGCTCCGATCTACGACGTCCCCAACGAGAAGCAGCGCATTGTCAGCGCTGCCAACAACCAGGCCGGCCCACCGCCGTTCCAACCGCCGCAACCGCAAGCTCCAGTCGTCTCTGCGCGCTCGTCCTATGGCGGAGAGCCCGCTGCTGCCCAGCCCATGATGTCGCGACAGGGCTCGTCCTATGGTGGAGCGCCCCCGGGTCATGCAGCGAGTCCCGTTCCTGCAGCGGTCGTTCTCAACCGTCCCGTCCAGGGCATGTTCACTGCGCCGACGCTGACCATGCCAAACTTCCCTCCCACGCAAGGCCAGGAGCACACCCCGCTGCCTTCGCAACTGACGCGCGTCCCGGTCCTGATGAACTTGGAGGTGCCCGAAGGCCCCACCGCGTACGCCTCCACCATGCGCTGGCACATCTCGCCATCCTACGAGCGCCGAATGGCCGTGAAGACAGTCTCCTGCTCCAACATTCCGTCCAAGATTGGCGAAAAGCTTCCAAACACGTACGTTGTCATTACCCACGGCGGCCCCTTCTCCACTCCAGTGGAATCCGACGTCGTCAAGAAAAGCAACGTTGCGGCTTATGGCTTGAAAAACCCGCACTCCTTGTAAGTGATTGGTGCTGGAGGTTGCGGGGGGGATGGTGGCGGTGGTTGGATGGGCTCGTTGCTGGCAGCCAGGCGAGCTTGATTTTTTTTTGTCTGTTTCCTCTGATTTTTTTTTCATGTTCATCCACTTGTTCCCCTTTGGGTGGTTGCGACAGTATTGTGCCTGCTTCGGGCTACGCGCCATTCATCGTCTCATTGCGCTTGCGTCGCACCGTGCTCGGCGACGTCCAAATCGCAACCTTTACCCTTCCGGAGGCGCTGCAGTACGCGTCGGACGGCGCGTTGGTCGGCCCGCATTCCTTCCCAATGCAACTGGATCCCGCTTACAGCAGCAAGTGCGCTCCAGGCACACCACCACCGATCGTCAAGCTGACGTGGACGCTCACACCACCCGTACTGGGCTCGTTTGAGTTGAGCTTTGCACGCGTGCCTGGCGCTGCTCCCCGCTACCAGATTGTGGACAACAACAAGGCCGTCTTGTTCCAGCTGGTGCAAGGAAACGCTTCAAGCTCGTTCATTCTGCTGGACTTTTCAGGCGTTCCCATCTTGCAAATCTTCCGCCACTCGCTCATCATGATTGGCCAAAACGATAACATCCCCTTCGCGACCGTGCTTGCCATGAACTCTTCTCCGCTTGCCAACGTCACAAAGCTTGGCATCAACCCGCTCGATCACACAGGCCGTCCGTTGCCGTTTATTGCAGCCCGTCCGTCCTCTGCCCCGACGTTCAACATGGAGTTGACCCGTGTTAGCGTGAGTGTTTTTGCGAGTGTTTTTTGCGTTTCAGTTTTGGCATTGGTTTTTCTTTTTGCAACTCTCTTGCTCATCAACTTTCTCACACACTCAACTGTTGCTGCTCACAGAACCGAGACCTGGTGGCTCACTATGCTTACGGCGATGGCGCTCAAGGCCACATGAGTATCCGCCCCACCGAAGACGTGCCTTGCATCGTCGCCAGTATTTTGGCCTCGGCCGTTTTCCGATACGATACATCATACAATATTGGCAACTCTTATACCCTGTAATTGACATCCGTGTCTTGTTTCTTGCTCTCGTCGGACTCGGCAATCCGATTCGCTGTTTCTTTCAAAAGAAACGACTGTTTTTTGGTTTGGAAATTTTGTCTGGTCTATTTTGCTGCATTGCAAACGTGGCAGACAGATGATTTTGCTTTGTGTTTCATGTCACGTATACATTGTCTAATTGTTTGCTGTAGTGTACAAATGAATCTTTTACGTCTGATCGCTGCAAACACGTTTCAACAAAGGAGGCCATCCCCTCACTCACTCTGCCACCCAAACTGATGCATCGGCAGCATCTGACGGACCCTGGTCTTCCACGGTGATGCCAATCTGACCAATCTCGTCATCGACTGGCAACGGAGACGAAAGAGGCGTCGAGTAGCCCGCCTCCGCCAACATGGCAGCGGGGTTGCTCATCTGGGCATCCGCAAAGACCCCATCATCAATGGCGGCCATGGCTCGTTGCTGGTTTTCAAGGTGCTTGACGGAAGAAATGTGGTTGTCCCACCAGAATGCCGGCACGTGCGAGGCGCAAATGTCGCAAAGAATGGATTGGCTGACATCCTTTCCAGCGGCCTCGCCCTTGGCGCCACGCACCGTCTTGAGGCGCAGAGTTTCGGCGCGCACCCGAGAGACTTCCAAGTCCATCTGGCCCTCATCGAACATGGAAGGGTCGGAGTCTGCCGCCGAAGATGTTTGCTGCTGCTGCTGCTTGTTCACACTCGGCATCTGAAGGCTGGTGTGTGGATGATCGTCATCCTCGTCGTCACCGCCATTCACATCACTAGTCGTTGTCTTCTTGCGACCTTTCCTGCCGAGAGTGCCAAAGCCGCGGCGTTTCAGCGAGAGTGCATTCTCTTTCATGCGCTTGCTAAACCCAGCAGCTGATCGGATGTCGTGTTGGGCCGCGCTTCCTTGACGCCAGTACATGAGGGCAAATCCGATCGCAAAGGCGGTTGGGATGAGTGCAAGGTGCACAAGCGTGCCGACCATCAGCCCGGCATAGTTGTGCGTCACCACCAGAGAAAACAGATTCGTCCACAGCACCACGGCAGCCAGGCCGCACGCAAAGCAGCAAACTAGCGCGTTGTGGTAGATGGGAAATGCAAGCATGGCGAGAAGCACTGGCAGGGTGAGCAGGGACAGCATGATACTGACACCGTCGTCGCCCAGCGGCGAGGAAAGCACGGTTGTTGCAACGACCATCATTGCCTTGATGAATGCGTCCGTACGCGCCGTGGCGGCCGACTTGACGCTCATCCAGTGAATCTTGCGCAAATCAGGCCGGTCAAACCGCCAATTAAACCAAAAGTAGACGGCAACCTCCGAAAGGCTGCCTCCCACATACACCAGACGCATCATCATGGTCAAAAAGCCAATCAACGTAGCGACAGACACCGCAACGAGGGCTTGGTGGTAGCCGCTGCTCCAGCATTCGACAGAAGGCTCTCGCGTCAGCACAGACACCCCGGAAACATTGTCCGAGCATGCAAACACGTTGAGCAGGACTCGCAAGAACGGAATGTACATGAACGAGCTGACACCCCACACCAGTAACGAAGCAAAGCTCCACAGCTGGCCTTGCAGTGTGCGGAGTTGCGTGGCATAGGGATGCCAGCGATACGCCAGCATCATCAGGGCCACACACGACCAGACCAGCGCCACGGTGGAGAAAAAGTAAGCCGCGTACTTGACCGAGACAAAGTCACTGATTTCGAGCTGAAGCGGGATGGCAATGGTGTTGAAAACGTGACTGTTGGCCCACGGTAGAGTGACTGTGAAGGGCATCGACACGAGCTGGAAAAAGTTGACCAGCAGCAACGCAAACGCGACGAGCGCTGATGCTCGCGGAAGCGTCTCTTGCTGGAAGCGCTCCATCCGCGTCGAGTACACACGAATGAGGCGTCCTGGATGCTGCGCAATGGACCATTGTCGGATGGTGCCGTCGCGACCGCCCGTAAAGACCGCGTCCCCGCGTACCATGATGCGGTTGATAAAGTCCGTGTGACCGTCGTACTCCCACTCGAGCTTGCCCGTAGTCGTGCTCGAGCAGCGGATTCGAGCGTCCTTGCCTGCGTGGATGACGTGGCGACCATCCTCGGAAAGGCTCACGGCACGGACGCTGGCGTCGTAGCCACGAATAATGACGCGGCCTGCGTTGTTTGGAAAGGAGTTGGCCGACAACACGCGGACGGACTGATCGCGCGAGGCTGTGGCAATCAGGCCATTTCGAACATCCAGGTAGTTGATGGCATCCGTGTGCTCCCGACTCTTGCAAAGAAGCGCACCCGTCTTGACATTGTAGCTGGCCAGTCCACCAGCGCCATCGCCGCTGACAATGGTAAAGCTTTCGCTCTCACTGGTGGTGGCACTCGTACTCGTAGAAGTAGGCTGGTTCAGACAGATATAGTTGACAGATCCGACATGCGCTTCGGCAAGCGTGTGCAAGAGCTTGCCAGATTCAATCTCCCAGACCAGCAGCTTGCTGTCAGAGCAGCCAGCCACGACAAATCCATGGCCGTCGTTCGGCTGCGGCCCTTGCTGTTGCTGCTTGCTGTCGGTGGAGGAGCGAGGCAAGACTGCGAGGCAGTTGATGATGCCGCCGCCTCCAGAGTACACACGCAGCTTGGTTCCAGTGATAAAGTTCCACGATGTGACGGTCTTGTTGGTGGACCCGCAAAACACCAGGTGCGACTGCGGGAGCGGCCGGACGTCGTTGATCGAGTCAGAGTGTCTCAAGGTGTGCAGCAGCCCAAAGCGATTCAAGTCCCAGACATTCACAGTGGCGTCTGTCGAGCAGGACAGCAAGACGCCACGGTCGCGGCCGACATGGCGTGACAGCGAGGGACTGGCGAGGACGTGCGCGACGGTGGCCATCCCAGTGTCTGGCGGCACTGTCTGATGGGCGAGCGTCTGGAGGATGGACGCGGGAACATGGGTGTGGCGCACTTGGTAGACTTGCTGCGTGTGCGTCGTGAAGACGGCCAAACACTCGGCCGTCTCGACGTCCCACACGCGAATGGCCGTGTCGCGTGATCCAGAGAACAGCAGGCCTTGAACCTCCTCCAAGCACCACACAGAATTGACATGGTGGCCGGCAACAATGTGGCGACCGTCGTCCTCCGGATTTGACTCTTTCTTTGCGGGCGCTGCAGAAGAATTGTCCGTCGAAGAGTCCAAGCCGTCGTCGTTGCGGCAACATAGAATTCTAGGGAGACACCCGGACGAGCCTTTTTGCGGCTTTGATGGCCCCGTGATGCCGGCAAGGATGATGGTGTCGAAAGCGCGCTTGAGGTTTTGCTGCGTCAACGAGGAGAATTCAATGAATGGCGCGCCGTGGAGCTCGACCTTGGCGTAGTGTTCGCCCTGTCAAGCACAGTACATTTGGAAAAAAAATGCTGAGTTACACGCACAATCACATGTTTTGAAGGGTTGCTGTTTCAGTGTGGTGCACACAACCAACAACTCTCACCTCGAGCGGCTGGACTTGGCGGTGCGAGGAGGCCAAGTCGAGCTTTGTTCCCACCAGCACAACGGGGACTCCAGGACAGTGATGGTGAATCTCTGCGCGCCACTTCTCCAGGTTGGCAAAAGAGTGGCGACTGATGATTGAGTACGCGAGGACAAACACGTCCGTTCCCGGGTAGCTCAGCGGGCGCAATCGGTCGTAGTCCTCCTGTCCAGCCGTATCCCACAATCCGAGATTGACCGGCATCTGAATTTTGATTCACAGCAATAATATTCGGCATGCGAACGGTCAGAGTGAGATTCTTTTCGGAATTGCTGAGTGAGTGAGTGAGTGAGTGGGTTTCAGATTGAGACGACGCGCTCTTCTTCTCCGCTCGCGTCCATTGATGCAAGTGGTTGGTGCTGCTTGAAGCGAATGCGGTGAGATACAGAGAACAAAGGGTCATCCCGAGAGCGAGCGGCAGTGCTGGAACCGCAAGCCAGATCACCGCGTCATTCCTCATCGCTTCCATCGCTGGACAGCCAGTGCCCCAGCCACCCAACGGCTTGATGGTGAAATGACGATCGCTTCGAGTGGCATTGCTCGACCTGGGGGAGAGGGGTTGTTCATCCGAGCCACAGAATGCACAGAATGAGGGATCAGCTTACATTCTCAACCATCACATTCGCGCTGTAGTTGTCAAAGACCTGTATTTGATGTTGTTGAGCGCACAGTGAGCGACAATCAAGTGTGGCTTGATATTAAGAAGGGGGGGGTTTGTACGGACCGTGGGGATGTACTCGCCGGGGAAGGCGTTCGTCGTGTATGCAATCAGCATGCACGTCTTGCCGACAGCGCCATCGCCAATCACCACGCACTTGATGCTCTGCATGCGAGTGAATTGGCAAATAAAAGAACTGCACTCTCAAACAAGTTCAACGAGAGAGAAAGAGAGAGTATTGAAATAGTGAGTGGTCGATTACTAAATACGGGTGCTGGATGGGCTATTCTTGGGTTGATGTTGCGATCTGCACGACTCGAACAGCAAGGTGGATTAGGCGCACCAGGAGGAGTAGCAGTGCACGATTGAAAGAAGCGAACGAAGTCAGCGAACGGAGTGAATGAAATGGCCGAGAATCAGCCGACAGCAACATCTTCCCTCCGTTACACGATCACGAGCAACACCAAACTAAAGATGGCTACAAGTAACACCACAAAAGTCACACACTGCACGCTCATCAACCCTCTGGATCGATTAGAGACGTGTAATCAATATCACTAACAACAAAAACGCGGACAATCAAAATAGAAAGCATCACCACAGACTTGGCTTCAAAGGGAAAAACCCTCACTGCCAAAAGAAACAAAACAACCGACTTCACAAAGCAAGCATCAACGATTACATGCCAGAGAAGAATCGCTGGGCGTCTCGCGAGGCTTGTTGTTGCTGCTTCTTCTTTTTGCCATTGTTTTGCTTTTGTTGTGCGCGCGACTTTTGCAGGCGCCCGTGTGAGCTTGAGGCGCCAGTGTCCATATCCATGGCATCATCATCATCATCGTCGTCGTCATCGTCATCGTCACTATCCATATCGTCGTCATCGCCATCATCGTCTTCGTCCGCCCACTCGTCTTCGTCAGCGTTCTCGTCGTCGTCGTTGTCCATGGCGTCCACTCCGGCGCCACTGGCCATGGCGTCTTCCGCAAGATCAGGCAGCTCGCCTTCCTCCTCTTCTGCGTAAAAGTCCTCAATGTTCCAGAACTTGACGCGCTGGTCGTGCGAGCAGCTTCCAATCAGCTTGCTGTCGCGGGACTTTCGAATGCGCTCGACGGGGAAGTCGGGGTGCTCGCCCAAGACACCGAGGAGTTTGTTTGGTTGGATGTTTACGACTCTGGTTGGGCGAGAAAAAAGAGAATCAGAGAAAGCATCGGGAGTTTCGTGAGTTCCGACGTCGCAAGACAACGCAGTTAGAACTGACTCGCCAACAGACCGAACGATCCTTACCGAATCAAACCGTCAGACGACGCAGTGGCAACAATATCTTCGGTAATCTTGACAATGCTGTCAATGGAGTCTGGGTGACCGGGGAAGCGGTCGCTAATGTCTGCAAATTCGTCCCATGTGAAAATGTCGAGAATGCCGCCTTGGGAGCCGCAGACGACCTTGCGATTGTTCTGGCAGATGGTAATGGAGAGATGACGACGAGAGTGGTGAGTAAACGTGCAGCAACCGTCATCAGTGTATTCTTGCGGACACTCACCTTGAGCGTCACAGCGGACAGCAACTCGTCCTCTTGGTTTTCCGAGCGAGCCAAGAGACCCTTCTTGCGGAGGCTAAACACTGAAAGCGTGCCATCGCCGCTGTGAAAGAGACGCGCCAAAAACGCAGAGTTGACAGAAGGAGAGGCATTAGCAAGAGTTGTGGAGTTGTGTTGCGAAAAACAACAGAAAAAAACCAAAGATTCTGCAGCTGCATACCTGGGTGCCAAGATACACCGCTTGCCAGGCACGTACGACAGCTCTGAGATGAAATCTTCATTCTCTTTGAATTGGAAGATGCTCTTTGCCTGTCGGGTGTCCCAGATCTTGACTGCGCCGCCGTCATCCCCCGTTGCGAGCATGCACTCTTCGAACGCAATCAGCGTGTTGATCTTTTCCCTGTGTGGGGAGAATGGAGAGAGTGATGAGAGTGAGCGCTTTGCGAGCATTTCATCCTGCCTCAAGCCGACTCCCCTTCTTGTTTTGGTTTTGTTTGATTTACTCGTGAGCCTTGTCGATGGCTGCCAGGATGACGCCCGTGTTCATGTCCACCGCCTGGATTGATTTGTCACCCGAGCCGGTATAAAGCACTATTGGTTGAAAGAATCGAGCGCAAGTGAGCCATGTAAGCTTGTGAATTGCATCTTGCAAAACCCCCGCTCGTTCAGCGACCATCGCTGTATGTCATGCCATTGTATGCCATGCCATTGTATCATTGTCAGCGAGTCGTTTGGCTTTACCATTGCCGTCAGCAGAGAAGGCGAGCGCGCGACAAGCTTTGCGGTGGTGCGTCAGATCGAGCAGCGCCTGGTTTCCATCCAGCGAGTACTGGTAACTAACACATAGAGGCAATCAGATCGAGTGAGTATGAGTTTGAGTGAAGGTGGAGAGGGGCCATGTGTGAGGAGTGAGTGCTCGAGATTGACCATCGCCGAGTGACAGCGCTAGTAATCACACTGAATACACACACATGCAGCAATGGAGCAGCGTGTTGACAGTGAGAGTGAGAGTGAGAGTGAGAGTGAGAGTGAGAGTGAGGGGGAGCAGAACGCCAATGGACGGCCAGCCAACACAGCCACATGGCCAAGTGCATTTGACCTCCGATTGCCAGTCCAGCCCTCAGTCACAGTCACACTCCCAGTCACACACTCACATACACTCACACTCACGCACACACGCACACCAGCTCATCCGATGCCATGTTCGGCTGATCATTGGGCCAGGTCCAATCTCGCTCCACTCACTCACTTCCCCCCAAGACCACCAACCAACCACCAACCAACCAACCACCGGACTTCATCATCTTGCAAACCAAGTCCAACACGTACATGCCGATGCGGCCGTTGATGAGACCGACTGCCACGACGTCGAGCGCCGGGTGGAAGGCGAGCTCAAAGACCTGGTCCTCGAGCACCAGATCGCTCGGTGCGCGCACGTCGCCGTCGTCAGCCATGATAATGATGTTTTGGGACAAAAGTGAAGAGTGTGTGTGAGTGTATGAGTTGTGGACCTGGGATTGATTGGTACAGTGTTCGGCAATGGTGATGGAACACTCGTGCGGAAAGATTGAACGAGTGGACTTTGGTATTGAACACACATGTTTTGAACATTTCTTAATCGACATTGCTGCAATCGGTTTTGAACAATGTGAGCATTGGACAAAGTTGATCCGGACAAAAATGCAAATAACTTTGAACAGCACCCGTTGAACAGCCGCTTTTGAACAACAAGGTCCGAACGACACTGCGACATTGAAAAAACCGTGACTCGCGATTGGACAAAGAGTTTTTCACAATGAACACTGCACTCTAAATAATGAACGCTGCCTACTTTGGCACCTGAACAGTCCTGCATTCGCCAACGAGTGATGCCCGTACACGCCAACGACGACCAGGAGATTGCCCAAGCTACCCCTCGCAAGCGCCAGCGCATGTCCCTGGACTTGCGCAGGCAGATTGTTGCATTGCGCGACGAGGACTTGTGCACCTTTCGCGAGATTACAGACTATCTTGATGTCCCGGTCGCAACCGCGCACAATGTGTGCACCAAGTTTCGCGAGACTGGTATCATAGAGCCTCGTGCCTCCAAGCCACCCAATCGGACAGTCGTGACGAGGGAAATGGAGGAATTCCTGGCGGAAGAAATCGACAAGGACTGCGCCGTGACCAACGGCATGCTGGCCGACAAGTTGCACGAGTCTTCTTTTTTGTGGTGTTTTGCGACTCCACGAAATTGAAGGGTGTTTTACCACCGGCGCGTCATGAGACTCGACGCTGCCCGGCACACATCTCTCCAGAGTCGGGAATCAATGTGTGGCTCACGGTCGAGCTGGTCCCTCACCCGAAAACTCCGCTGGTGTGCCTCAACTGATCAAGAAGCGATCGAAAGTCGACTCAAGCAGCCGCGTGGAGATCTCGTATTTCCACGTGGCAACCCACGAACCAAGAAACCCTTGCCTGCGCTCAGAGCGCGCAGCAACCGAAGATTACGTTTACGACGACAAAATGGACAGGCATCCCTGTGGTGCCAACCCCGCTCATCGGCCGCAAGGCTGACTGGGGTGCAAGCGAATGGAAGGAACGAGCGCCGACCATCACTCTCAAGTTTACCGCCTAGTGCCCGCCGACCGCGCCAGCTCGCAAGCTTTAGTCGATCGGGTACAAGCATAGCCTCATGGGTAGCGAGCGCTCATGTGAAGTCATTTCCAGAGTCAATCTGGCTGCAGATGTTTGGTAGGAATCTCGTACGCCAAGATAGCGGCGCGATCCATCGAGCTTTTGTTATTTGAAGTTATGACGGTGTGAGTACTGTAACTATTACGGTGTTAAAGCTGTAGTTTTACGAAATACACATCGGTTTGAAAAAAAAAAAAAAAAAACAAGTTGCACGAGAAGTTTGATGTGAAAGTCAACGCGACGACAATCGGTCGTCATGTCAAGCGCATGGGCATTGATTTCAAGATGATCTATGAGCAGGTCACTCGCAAAAACTCGATGGCGGTCAAAATGAAGCGCCAAGAGTGGTTTCAGGACTTGACCAATGCGAACATTCCCCAATCGCGCATCTTCTACGTCGATGAGTGTGGCTTCAACATTAACATGCATAAGCGCGCGATCAAGAACGTCGATTCCATTCGTGCTCCGAACTGGACACTGATTTGTGTGATTGGCAATACGGGTGTTGTGCACTACGACATCCACCACGGCCCTGTCAACCAGCATGTATTCCAACGGACGA